GCGGCCCCAGGCCTGCCTCCCGGCGAGACCCCCTCCAGCGGCTCCCTGGTGAAGAAGAGACGGAAGAGGAGGAGGAAGTCCCAGCTGGACAGCCTGAAGAGGGACGACAACTCCAACACGTCGGAAGACGAAGACATGTTCCCCATAGAGATGAGCTCCGACGAGGAGCGGGACGCGATGGACAGCAGCAGGTAAACGTCGGTCCACGGGGGACAGGGCCCCTGGAGACCCGGGTGACGTGATTTTCAAACATGATTCTTACAATCCCCCCCACCCCGCCCTGTGGATGCATTTAAAAATGGACACTTGCCTTTGTTGTGATTCTGTCGCTTTTAATGTTTGACTTAAATCTCCCTCTTTTTTTTTTTAACCAGAACTCTTTCTAACGACATACCTCCATTCCAAGAAGATGTTCCCAAGGAAAACGTGCCCCCAGTCATGCCTTATTCTCAGTCATCATCGTACCCTAGTTCCGATAGAGAGTGGTCACCCAACGCCAGGTAACCTGCCGTGTGCGTGTGCGTGTGTGTGCGTGTGTGTGTGCATGTGTGGGCGTGCTCACCTGTCCTGGTCCAGAGGATTTGAAGTCAGCTAGGAGGCATGTTCCATAGAATAGAAACAAATGAAAGTGAAATTTGTTAGGACAGAAGAAGATGCAGGTAGAGTAGGAGGTGCAGAGGGAGATGAGCAACATGTGCAGGCCCCGTCTCAGAGCTGAGATGCAAATACAGCGCTTAGCTCCCTGGGGTGGCGTGGAAAGGAGAAGCACTGGTTAAGGGTCACAACGCCAGTGGTCACGGAGGACACAGGCGACAGCCTTCCTTGATCCTTTTCTCCAAAGTAAGATTCAAGCAGCGAGGCTGCTTCAGGGGCCACTGAGGCCGCTCGGACGATCGCTTCTCCCTTCTCCCTGAGCTCAGTCACTCTGCTGAGTTCAAGGGTGTTTATTTCCTGGAAATGAGCCCTCACGTCGGCTAGACTTCTGGTGTGGGCAGTTTTCAGAGAACAGGGGAGGGGCTCATGCAGCCGCAGCAGGGCCACGGCACAGACACAGCTACCCAGGACCCCGGCATTAAAATCCCACGGCCCAGGGAGCACTGTTAGGGGAAAACAGCCAGATGCTCTGGGGGCGGTGATAGTGAGAAAGAGGCGGAGAAATGGCCATCTCAGTGATAGTGCAGGACAACGGGGTTATTCTTATTCTTTCCTTTTTTTAGAGAGAGAAAGGGAGAGGGAGTGAGGGAGGGAAACATCGATGTGAGAGCGAGACATCGATCAGCTGCCTCCTGCACCCCCTGACCGGAATTGAACTGGCTACCTTTTAGGTTCACAGGATGACACCCACCCACCCCGCCCCCCGGGCCGGGCTATTCTCACGCTTCATGCGAGACTTACCTCTGGTTGACAGCGGTTGTGGGGGCCCCCGGAGCTGCAGAGCTTCCTGCCTAAGCCTGTTTCCTGCTCACCAGGCCTGGTTTCACTTTCACCCGTGTGATGCGTGCATGACGCAGCACAGTGAGCCGGGTGGGTGGGGGGCGGGGTGCTGAGCTGCAGGTCAGGGAAAACAGGCCGCATCCTGGTGTCCAGCCGGGACTGGGACGATGAATGTCAGTCAGCCGGCAGCCAGGGTGGGGCTGGGGGCCTGGGCAGTCCCCTCACTGAGGTCTGTCTGTCTGTCCCGTCCAACAGCAACGTCGTGCTAGCTACAGACGTAAATTAAAATGTTGTAGCAGCCATCCTGGAAAAGTAAAAAGACACTGAGGAAGTGAACTTGGATGATGTATTTCATCTGACCCTGTGTATCCAAAATATCATTCAGGTAGTCAGTTTTTAAAAACATTATTAGTGGGCCGGCTGACATGGCTCAGTGGTTGAGCATCGACCTGTGAACCAGGAGGCCACAGTTCGATTCCCGGTCAGGGCACACGCCCGGGTTGTGGGCTCGATCCCCAGTGTGGGGCGTGTAGGAGGCAGCTCTCATCATTGATGTTTCTCTCTCTCGCTCCCTCTCCCTCTCCCTTCCTCTCTGAAATCAGTAAAATACATTTAAAACCAGTGTTCATGAGCTATTTCACATTCCATGTGTATGGTAGGTCTTTGAAGTCAGTGTGTCTCTCACATGGACAGCACTTGCCCGTTTGGACTGGTCACCTTTCCCGTGCCCAGCCGTCACCGGCAGCCAGTGGCTCTCCTGTCGGACAGTGAGGCGGGTCCCGTCCCGGAACCTGGGACATTCTCTCCTGGGGTCCCTGGAGATAAGCCCCCGGAGGGGAACACAGGACGGAGGAGGAAAATATGGGGGGTGTTTGGACACCAGTGGGTGGAAAACATGTTCACTCTTTATTAAGCTAAGAATTTAGGTGTTTCAAACACAACCCCGAAGAGGTTTTCTCTTTCCCGTTTTCCTCTGCGAGTCCAGGGTGACGACCGTGTCAGCTTATGAGGGTCCGACCACTGTCCGATGCAGTGACCAGCTAGGATGAGCGGGCACACTTCCATTCATGGCATCATGTGTGTTCCTTAAGGGGACAGCTGGCAGCACACACAGTCAGACCACACGCCCCAGAGCCGGGAGGAAGCCCTGCGCTCTGAGCCGCGGAGGGCAGTCCTTCGTGGGCACGTGGATGCGACAGAAAGGGAGCTGGGCCTCGGGCAGCTTCCTGTTTTTGCGGTTAAGAGAGTTCATGTTGATGGCGATGTCAACAGAGCTGCTCGGCTGCGGTCAGGGGCCTGGGAGGATCGTCCCTTACAGTGTCACCCCGGACGGCGGTCCTGGGACGGGTAGGAAATCTGGTTTCACTTCATTGACCTGTGACCTTTTTTCTCTTCACGTGCATCCGGCATCCAGCAGCCTGATAGATTGCAAAAGGACGCCCCCTCACGTGGCCGTGGCGGCCGAGGGCCTGCTCTCTAGCTCTTGCCCTCCACAGTCGTCCGTCCTGCACGCTCTGGAAAGGTAGCGGGCCCTGCCCCACGGGGTGTCTTCCTAACCAGCTCTTCACTGACTCCTCCACGTCTCCTAACTGCTAACCACAATCACTTATGCAGAGAAACGTGTAGATTCTCTGAAGCGAACATTTATATCTAACTCCTACAGATCTATTCTGCCGACTAACCAAATGACTGATGATGAAAACACCCAGTTTCTTATTCTCCTTTCACTGTCAGCTGATTCGACTCTTTCTAACTTAGTACGAACTTGGAAACTCCCTGGGAATTGTGGTTTGATCATAGAATTTGTCCTAATTCTGTGACGTGCCTTCAGAATAGAATAATGAAGGACAATTTGGGAAGGTGACCTTTTGTTTTGTGTCTAGTGTTGCTCAGCCGGTAGGCTAACACGGTTTTTTTAAAGGACATTATTTCAGAGTAACGGAGCTTATTATACACTAGAGGCCCAGTGCACAAAAATTTGTGCACTTGGGGGGCGGGGGAGGGGGGTCCCCCAGCCCGGCCTGTGCCCTCTCGCAGTCTGGGACCCCTCGGGAGATAACGACCTGCTGGCTTAGGCCTGCTCCCGGGTGGCAGAGGGCAGGCCCAATCCCTAAGTGCAGCCCCTGGTCAGGCTCAGAGCAGGGCCGATTGGGGAGTTGGGGCGCCGCCCCGTCATGCACAGAGCAGGGCGGATCAGGAGGTTGC